GAGCTTACTCATAGTACTCGAGTTAACTCATAACGTTACTCATCCGGTTCGTGAAGGAGTTCTAGGCTTTAATAATTTGTTCTTTTGATTTGTCTCTCACTAGCTATCTTTGTTGGCACTTGTGAAAATATCATTTTCAAGACCGTACGATGCGCTAATGTTGATACCTTCGAATGAAGATCATACGGATACATCATTGGTGCGTCTCAGAACGAAGACTGTCGTTGAGCTGTCAAAGGTTATATTAAGCCTGAATCTAAGGTGCATGAATCGATAGTGTGCAACGCTGATTGCATCCTGAGTGCCGTGCACCTAGCACCAAGGATACCCCGACTCGTAGAGCCTGCCTTGACCAACGCGCAGGTGGGCGAAGAGACTATTCTAAGGACGAGAACCCAGAGTATCTCAAATATCCAGTACGCTACACTTGATCAGATCAGAGCATCATACTTAGATTTCGAGCTAACTAATTAAAGTGCACTTTACTTGCTGTAATGATGCACCCTAATAATCGCAAAGCCAACATGTTTCACCGTCCTCTCCAATTATATTACCATGACTACCATCCTTAGCTCAGATATGCCAAAGTCCTGAATTTAAAAAAGACGACAGGACTCCGTGACGGTTAATCCGTAGAACACGCGGGCTATCAGCCTCGCTCATATCGTCGACTTGATATGTGTTTAGTATTAGCTTAGATACACCATATCATAAATAAATGTCATATTTGAGATCTAATTAATGCAAAATAGAATCAAGTTGCTCAAGAAACTCTCAAAACTGGGTGAAGCGAGCGAACCTCACCTCTGTTAGATGCCAACGAAAGATCTTTGAGTCATAGCATCCTCTGTATTAGGCTCATTGCAAAAGACTGTCAAAATCCGTAATCAATACAAAGCTTAAACGCCATATACAATAACACTGCCCGTGCGTCATGCGATGGAGATATATCAAATTCTTCTTCTTGTTGTCATATTTTTAATGCAAGCATCAAAAGCTATATACCATGACTCGGCTTGAAATTAATCTTAGATTTGGTGAGTCATGCAACCATCACTTCTTAGAAGTTTAAATGCTTTTGGCGCAAGCACAAACGTGTAGCATGATTTAATCCGAGTTGTAAAAAAAGATGCTGATCAGTACTTTGAGCAGAGCCCGGGAAGAACGACACTTGGTATCAGGGTGAATCTCTTATAAGACAGGAGCGAGCGGCAGTATGTCTTGGTCTCTCTGTTATGACGCAAAATTAGCTGCTAGATGATGCACATGGTGCCAGATACGTTGACGAGTAAGAGTAAATATGTATCGTGGTCTTCTGTGTTAGAATTGCTGGCGCTAAGGTTATATTAACAACACCTTCCTTTCATCATGTAATGGTACTGCTACGTCAACACAGGCATGCGGTGGGCCCATTGTGCGGAGGAGGAACCTCCCCGGTGTGTGGCGAAGACTTCTTCGCTCCTGAATATCGTGAACGGGGCAGTCCTTCGAGTCACTGACTTCTGTCAGAAACATTCATTGAACCCCATGGATATATTGCAATATACTGCAAGACAGCTAAATCTCCGAATTGATGCGATTGTTACAAGAGGAGGTGTCAAGCATATCATTCGTCACGGACTGGCCCGACATTAGAAATCCTTGCATACCACAGACCGCGAGGAGTGGAGCGATTCTACTTAGTAATTGAACGGATCCTTATCTTCCTTTATTGTAGGGTCGGCGCGTATCGCCCTTGGATCGAGACAATTGTAAGGCTTTTACCGCCAAATATAGAACCACCTATCAATAGTCTTCACCAAAGATGCGAGCTTGACGAGAAAGAAGAAGTTACTACTCGGCGCAAGCATTATTTATCAGCAAGTCTGAAGGCAAGCGGCGTGCTGGACATGCAAATAGAAAGCTAATTTTAGCGGCAGCACTGGCACGATCACCGATTCCTCGAAAGAACGTGCTTTATGACAGTATGTTCGGTCGCACTTATTAAGTGCTGATGTCCAGTCGAAGGCTCTATCAACTGCCAGCGCTATACCTCTCTCACCGCAGTAGGAAATCTGAGCTGTAGTGACCGATTTATCTCCCGGTGATGCTGTCAAATGCACCAGCCTTGGTCTGGCAGGCATTTGATCCTTTGACACATTTACACATGAATGCTTACTCACCTAGACGTGATGAATAGCGCTAACTGAGCCATAAGAAATTACCATGTGTTGCTTACAGTATTTGTTCTTTCGAAGCTTATTATACGATTCAACTCGCACAAAGCGTCGAGTGGGTCAGTGCTGCAATACATCAAGCATTGGAAATATGATTTAGTGACGCAAATGTGCAACTAAACCATTCGGTGATTCGACATCTGCATCTAAAGTTCTTTCTTCTCCAGGCTTTCTATCACGCAAAGGCATGTTGCATTAGACCTGTCAGTTCTTCATCCATGCGCGACATCACCATCGTAACATGCGACAATCATTTATATTCTAAATGGCGCAAAAACAATCTGCCACCAGATCAAGCAGACCAGACTCATAATCTTCTTCAAAGGCATACCTGGGAGAAGACGATGATCATCCAACCCCTCTATATGAGTTATTCTGTGACATCGTCGCCGAGCGCTTGGACGCATATATGTGCAGGTCAAAAGTGACAGAGAGCCAAGCAAGCGCACACTCAATCATACCTCTCTGTAGGTAGGCATTCCGTGAATTGAATAGTTCATCTCTTTCACGTTGATATAATGATACTCGATCACAGTTACACGTATACGTTCATTGACATCAGCTAAGATTAAAAGCACAGCCTACAGAAAAGGCTGAAGGGTCATAGACGACATGAGATGACCGATCCTATTCAAAAATTTCAAGATCAAGACTCACATTAGGCATCCCTTCTTTTGCGCTTCAGCCTTATTTCACGTTATAAAAAAGGCGTTAAAGAACTGGGCCATGTTGGCATGATTTGCACTACATTTGTGCAAGTAGCTTACCAAATTAAGTCTTTTTTTTGGGACAAGGCACTGGCTAGTCTACGATAACCTTAGTCTTTGCAAAATTGCCCGCAGACCTTCTTCTCAATGAGAGGGTCTGATAAAGTGAAAATTGTCGATGCCATATCCACACTTATGTTTGTTCGCTTAGTAATTTTTGAAGCTTATGAGCTCGAGACTCTCGTAAGTATCTCTTTTTACAACCCCTCGTACTTTGCAGGACTGCGAATAATTAGTCATCAATACTGATTTATGCGTAGACACAAGGTCACCCAAACAGCTGCTTAGCCCAACATTTACGCCTTAAAAACGAATGCATCTGTGGCCACTTTCCGTTGAGCCTTCTGACGCGAAAATGGCGCCTTACGAGTTCACTAACTGAATTTGATTCGAGCTTTGCACGTAAGAAGGGGGGGGATGATGTCATTCTGTTCTAAATAAAGAGTATCAACTACTTTTTTGAAAGCCTGGCAATTTCATGACACATTCCTCGTTACGGGTACACACATCACATCACTTCAACAAGTATAAATTTTGATTGTGAATTCTCGAGAATAACGATAACACTACTTGCAGCTAGTGTTTTGCGAGTATCCACAATGACAAAACCATTATAGCCTCATCACCTTTTGTAGAATTAACCGTATCAGCTCGATTACTGGCGTCGTGTAATGTTATGGAAAAGCATTTTCTTCTGATAGCTTTTAAAACTTAATACTAGGTTCTACCCCGGGTATTTAGGTTTACACCGTTCTCTCTATTCTAATTTTCCTGTTAAAAACATCGGAGCTTTAGCATCTCGCACAGTGGGCGTGTCACACGGTTTGCTAAATCAGCATCACCGCTACGTCGTGACATAGATGAATCACTCTATGTCCTCATTCTTCAACTTGCAGTCAACAGTACCCACCGGCTCTGGTACAAGAGACCCCAAGTGAGCGTAATGAAACGAAATGCTCATGCAAAAGACGCAACGTCGACTGAAGTCTCACTGAGTTTACCATCTACGAACAGCGACTTTTTGCCGTCCATTTGCGTCTTGGAATAGTAACATACTTAAGACCGCTATATTCGATCTGACTCATCATGGGACCGCGGATTACTGCCACTTCTGCCCTTCGAGCTTTGCACAAAGTACATAACAAAATCGCTGTTCTTCAATTCGACCACCGCTATCTCCTGCGATGAAGCGATGAACGTATCATGCCCGACCCGATAGCACATCTGCTTCCTAGCATAATGGGTTCATAACCTACAAAGTTTCTAGCAGGAGAAAAACGTGTAGCGCCTATGCTTTTGTCGTAACTATGATCCACAGATAACGGAGTTTCAGCTACGCCGAGCCTAGGATGCGATCGTATCTTAAATCCACATCTAGGACATCTCAACCTTTGTCCCTGTTAAAGTCTCAAAACTTTACAGGAATGTCCGAAAGAACTTCTTCAACGACACCCTCGCTATGCTTTTGTCGTAACTATGATCCTCAGATAACGGAGTTTCAGCTACGCCGAGCCTAGGATGCGATCGTATCTTAAATCCACATCTAGGACATCCCAACCTTTGTCCTTGTTAAAGTCTCAAAACTTTACAGGAATGTCTGAAAGAACTTCTTCAACGACACCCTCGCTATACGCTACTTATCCGAGATTAGCATCTTTAATTCTGCTTTTGCCGCTCCTCAGAACGAGTTCGGTGAACACGGACGGTCTCGGTACACACTTCACATCCGACACAAATACGAAAAAGGATCAACCGACACCACGACTCTTAGATTTGTCAGGTCGTGGACATGTTTCATCAGTTGTCTGTTGTCCTTTTAAAATGGCTTATAATGTCGACAATACGCGGTCAGCTAATTAAAAATTCGGGGCTTTTGGTGATGCTTTAGTAGTTACAATAATGAAGATGAAGGTTCCTCGCGTGATACCTATCTTTCCGCGTGACTCTCTAGCTGGGTTGACGCCTCGCTGCCTGGTCGGCAAGTACGCGGTTATGTCAACTAGTTATCAAGAGAAGAATTCTTTTAGTTCTGTTCACAAAGGGATTGACGCTCGACAAAACGTTATCATTTCATAGAGCCGTATAGGGTGCGATGTTCATCTGCTGGCGTCTGGATAAACTTAAAAGTACCTTCTTCATTTAACTAGTGAGAACCTTTAAGCTAGCGGTTGCTTCTCCTGACTTTGAACCGTCGATTGCGCTGTCCTTCAAGGCCAGCTCAAGACAGAAGCTTGTTAAGTGTGTTCGGTTGCCCCGAACATATATACTTACATGTATCATGTCTCCATCTCATCGATGATATAGTCCTATGGGACTTGGTCGTGATTTGATGACAAGTGCTACCAAATGCAATGGTACTGCCGTACACCCGCAGAAAGGAAGCTTCGGATATCAGAGTCAGCGTTAATCAACGCGCCAAGGATGAGATCACCTACAGCACCAACGGAAGGCCTCTGAATGCGATCACCTACAGCACCTACGGAAAGCCTCTCGAGTATTTAATCTTTAGTAACAAATTCTTTGGAGAATGCATTAATTAAGGTCAGCAATCCTCGTGTCTCATAAACTTCCACAATATACCATCACACTCATTCGTGCCAACTGCTAATCAAGATTTTGCCTCATGGTATTAAACTGTGCGTTTCGGGTCCAGAAATAGTATAGTAGTGCTTGTGTACGTATTGACAGGATACGTACCCTGCAATATGAGAGATGATTCGACCATATACCCCATTTATGTCGCAAAATGCTCAATTCTTTTATATTATTCTCGTGTAGTACTCAATTACATTACTTTCTAGTATTGGAACCTAGTATCTAGACGAATTTCATACTACAGTAGAAAAATTGAAATTAGCTTATTTTTGGAAATTGTAAACCAGTTAGTGCTATCATTTTTACGAAGAACTTATAGTTCAGTTCTGGGTTCCGACTCGTCACGTCGGTTCCTCTTCGATAAAAAGACTTGCGTAATCGTGCGCAGATTGTAACACGTTTTGTCTTGGTATTTATTTGGTCCTTGTTAGCGAGGTTTTTGACAAGGAGAATACACCATCTTAGTATACTAATAGCTTTATACATTATTCAAAAGTAAAAGGATCTTTATTTTATATCGCCGACAAATTTGATCAAAATATTGCATCAAAATTGAATGTTTAATCGTTCGATTCCTTCTTAGGCTAACATGTAGTACTAGAAGAGATTTATATCGATCACTTAGATATCCTCAGTATATTCATTTGATGTAAAGATATGGCTAAGAGTTGTGCGTACTCTGGTTCCAAGTCGACGCTGACATTTCCCGTACCGAACATGCTCAACTTCGCTATCACGATCACGTTTCCGTAGTGCTGTTTCTAATTCCTTCAGATTTTGATATTTCGCCGTCAATTCTATCGTCTTCGCAGCACTAAAACCAGGAACTTGCAGCAGCATCCGTTGATAGATTTCACGCACAGAAAACTGGGTTTTCTTACCAAACTGCGAGTTAAATGGGGCAAACGTTTGGGGTGGTAAGCAAAATATCTTGGCAAAGTCATTCGTGTCAAAATGGTTGGAAGGCAGCAATTGTGATGTCACTGGCCTCATAACTTCTAAAGTCGGTGGAAATCTAGACAGTAGACGCGAGTATACTCGAGCGAGAAATGCGACGGTTTCGTCCGAGTTTTGACTCTGCTGAACAAAAAAGTTGTTTTGCATCTGCGTACGGGCCATTGCCGTGTTGAGGCCACTCGTTCGCACTGTAGTGATTTGGGTCAATGAGCCCTCAATGAGATAAATAACATGCACATTACCACAATTCTTTCGCACAGTAGCTAAACGGGTCTTTTGCTCGTAAAATCGTCGGTCAATGATACTTCCCGATAAATCATGCACTTCCTTTCGCTCAACGATGACATTAAGCATAAATTCTTGCGTCTCGCCACCAATACGCCTGCGACGCGCTATGTATTGAACGTCTCCTACGCCAAGCGCACGCACTTCACAATTAATGTTTCGTTCTTGCAACTTTCGTTCCAATATTCGAGGATTCCGTCGCTCAATGATTTCACGATGATCCAGCACGATCACTAATTCCCAAATGTCTGTTTGACGAATCAACTCTTCAAGAAATGGAGTATTCAAAGTCTCAGCTTGACCTATAGGACAAGCAGTCAGCTCACTCAAGGATTCTCCGTCTATCGGCGTTACGTCCGTCCAGCTCAAATCAGAAGGGCGTTGTCGCACTTCTTCAGTCAAAGTGGTATCAGTATTACAAACAGTATTTGACTTTGTAGAGGTAGAATTATTCCTGGGAATTGTCCCTGTATCTGCGGTTGTGACCGCTTCCATCATTGACCCTGGACACAACTCAGCACTTCGTCGACCCCTTTCAGTTAAATAGTAAAAGCCCAAACCGGATCTCTTGATCACTTCATGTGTTCCGGTTAGTGACGCGAGGCACGTTCGCAACTTGACACTAGTACCTTCATACTGCATTTAACGAAAACCAACCGCTACTTATTCTTAAGATAAATAATTCATGAATATACTTCGTACCCCGGCGTTTAGCATTCGTTTAAACAGCACATCAAAAGGTATTGCCGCGTCTTCATGTATGGCTTGAGCTTCTTGAAGTGCCAGTAGCACGAACCACGGCTCTGTTGCATTGCAATAATTCACAGTTCTAACATTTATCATCAACATAATCCTTTGCATCGAAAAAACTTATACTTCATACGTTTGCGGTAAGCAGGTGCGTATACTCTCGACAAGCGATCCGGAATTTCAGCTAAATTGTCTCTTATTGACAGCTCAGACTGGGTACCAACTGGTGCCGTATTTGGTAGCGCAAACGATTGTCCGCAATTCTGTTCCTCTAGTAAGCCTCGTTTTCTCAAAATACTGAGTATCTGATTAGCTAGATAGTTACCAATATGTCGAAGCTTCTTGGCTTCTGATGCGCTACGTAATGGCACGGTATGTGCACGAATGGACGAAATAGCCTGCGCAAAGTTGAAAGCCAAATGGGAGGAGTCACGTAAACGCTTTTTCAATTCCAACATGTCCTCTACAAGCGGATCGTTTGCCGCATGCGCACAGCCTTGGACGCTGAGCTTTGGCATTCAGCTTGTTAAGTTCGCACTAATTACTTACAAACTTATTTATCTGTAATATATTCTATGGCATTTAGAATATCCAGTATAAGAAAGTCGACTGATTAATGCGACGCTTTGACGCGGACAAGGAGAACCGCATAGCGGCCGTCTCCAGCTATTCACAGCGTGCATTGCTCTCATCTCGCCATCTTAAAATTGGAAGCACTAGTACTGCTTCGAGTTCTATGAAGCGGCCACACAATCAGCCGGATAGCTCACGATATCCGCGCAAAGCAGGAGATAGAACTGCTACTTCTCGACGACCTCAGAATGATATGTCGTCGTCCCATACAAATTCGTACCTTCAAGGTACTGGTAATGGTAATTACAAGTCTTCATCAGCTTCTTCCGTCAATGTCACATGTTCCAGTGTTTCAAATAGCTCAAGTTCTGCAAAGCAACCACCAACCAAGACGGACGAGACAAGTAAGAAGACATGGAAACTAAGCGACTTTGAAATTGGCAAGCCACTTGGCAAAGGCAAGTTTGGTAATGTCTATCTTGCTCGAGAAAAAGAGTCTAAGTATGTTGTGGCACTCAAAGTTCTGAACAAGCAACAGTTGATGAAGAGCAGCATGGAGCATCAACTACGTCGCGAGATTGAGATCCAGTCACACTTGCGACATAAATCAATTTTACGACTTTATGGCTATTTCTACGATAGTAAGCGCGTGTATCTTATTATCGAATATGCACCACAGGGAGAACTTTATAAGAAGCTCGTGCGTGCAGGTCGCTTTTCGGAGAAAGTGTCAGCAATGTATATACAAGAGATGGCACGTGCTCTCATTTATATGCACAGCAAACACGTGATTCATCGTGACATTAAGCCTGAGAATTTGCTTGTTGGGTTTAATGGCGAGCTTAAAATTGCTGACTTTGGCTGGTCTGTGCATGCTCCATCCTCTAGACGAACAACTTTGTGTGGTACACTTGATTATTTACCACCTGAAATGATTGAGAACAAACCACATGATGAAAATGTGGATGTTTGGACGCTTGGTATTCTTATGTTTGAGTTTCTGACCGGTGCTCCTCCTTTTGAGACTGAAGACACGAAAGAAACGTATCGCCGAATTGCACATGTGGATCTCAAGTTTCCAAACTATGTGTCGTCAGAGGCACGAGATTTACTAGTTAAGATCCTGCGCCATGACCCGCAGCAACGAATGTCGTTGGAGCGCGTTTTGGAGCACCCATGGATTGTGCAGCATTGCAAAATATAACTAAGATGTAGATACAGTAGTGAGTGTAGTCTAATCTCTTGCACATTTCTGTCTGTGATATACAGCTATTCATTGCCTTTTGTCATAATTGTTGTGGCTCCATACTTAAGGTCCTGTAATGCCTGCTCTGATTTCCTCGTCAATGTTTGTTCTTCTTCTATGTAAGCATCTGCGATTTTTTCGTAGCTCTTCGGCAATTCAAATTGTTTGGCGAATTCCTCAGCCTATACAACACCAAAACGTTCTTTTAAATCTCCATCTATCGCAATAATTGTATCATGCTATTACCTGTTCATCCAATGCTTTTCTTTGTTGCCCCATTGCACTTTGGAACGACTTGTAGACATCAGAGCGCTGTGCATCGCTCGCTGGGGATTGCAGTATTTCATGATTAAGTCGACGCAGTTCCATCAGCTTTGATTGCACCTCTGTATGGGCCACGCGACTACGCTCATAATTCTTGCGACTAGTATGTTGAATGATATACATCGAGTCTTCCACAATCTCGCGCACCATGCGTGAGGTCTGGCCGCCCATATCGTGATTGCAGTAATTTTGTAAGCCCGAAATTTGTGTGATACACATTACAAAAACGTTGGAGTAATGGCGGCATATCTACAAGAAACCATGAACCGTACGTGACGACAATGAGTGCTGGGAGAGGCACCACAGCAGCAAGATTGTTGCTTTGTGAAGAAACAATTACTGGGATTCTTATCAGACTAATTGCATAACTTTTGCTGTTCGATCTACAGAAACAATTTCAGTCATTACCAATGATGGTCGAAACATCATTGTACGGTGCATTCTATGTCTATAGTTCTCACGATAGCACCCGTTCGGTTGTCATTATAGATTTTGTGTATACGGAAATGCAATGATGCAGGGCGTGCTCAAAGGCTACGATCAGTGTGTCAACCTGATTCTAGACGATAGTTTCGAGCGTGTTTTTTCGCTGAAGGAGCCGGTGGAGGCAGTGGAGCTTGGACTGTACATTGTGCGTGGCGATAACATGTAAGAACAATCAAATTGTATAGAAAAGTCAAATGCTGCTGATTAAATAGCAATTTATCCTAATGGTGCAGATCTGTCATCGGAGGAGCTCCCGAGAATATTCGAGAACAAGTTCTTGACGACCAGACGCGAGCAGCGCCGTTAAAACCACTCGTTCACTAAATTGCATCGTACGTTATAATATAATAATTGCACTGCAACAACTGGGCTGCAAATATAGCTTGAGAATTCGAGCCACGCATCACTTTTTCTGATTGTTACTTGGCATGTGATGTATACACATGGTACCCCGTTACATTGGCCAATAATGGCATACTATTCAGTAAAATTAGCTTTAAAGATCAGGAGCTTGGATGCGAAAACAGTTATCGATTAAATGTTAATTTGATTGAGCATCTAGTAGTTCCTCCTGCTGATGTTCGCGATAATTTCCGTTTTCCAGATAAAGAAGAAAACGTAATGTTCCACACCAGGTGGACGCCGCGATTATCGATGTTATACGAAACGTTAATCCCAGAGAGGGCTTATATACTAATACAAACAAAACAACACTTTTGTGCCATCGCACATCTCAATGACCACAAATCGCAACATCCACAAGTCACAGAGTGCCGATTCTTCAAAATTAACAAAAATGACAAAAATTACATTATCGTCGAGCGATACGAGATCAACTGATTGGCATTTGCTGTCAACAAACAGGCTCTGCGTGAGTCGTTGGTTGAGAACGAGTTGCACTGTTAGAGAACAATTGACAGAGTCTGGAGCTGTGTGTTTAGTTCTAGGAAAGGTGGTTATAGTCTTTGATGTGTTGCAACCTACTAAAAAATCTAGATCACTTCGTCGCCAAAATAAGAAGTGAACTGGAAGAATGCGTCACTATACACAGACAGTAGTAACGTCGAGTATTGCTGGAGTTATGGTAAAGTGTGATGATTAGTACTGGTACGGATGAGAGTGGTGGAACTACATCTTTGCATGAAACGAGATTTACTCGGCTTTTGCGATGCAGTACATACGATACTATTGTAGATAGTGTAAGAGATGTTTTATGCATGAACCGAAGCAATCTATAGTGCAAGACCGGAACACATGAAGACTGTCATATTTTGCATTTCCTGACCAAATTGCTCAGTCCCATCGCAATGTAGTGTCTGCTTGATTTATTGCTGTAATTGGCATCCCCACTCAGGACATACTTTCTTCTCCTACGCAATTGTACGAGAAAATGCTACCCCTCCCCGACTACGTACAAGTCTATTTTGGTCGTCGCCCTTCGACTTTGTCTTTTGCTTCAGCCGCCAAAAACCCGTTCGTCGTGCCCATCTTTGAAGACTCTTGTCGGCCTTGCCTGTCGATACCTAAACTTCGCAGTAACTGCTGCCACCGACTTGTGCTTCACACCCGTTTTCGTCGTTTCGCCTACTCTACCGTAGACTTCCACGCCTTTCTACAGACTTTCACATCCGTTTCATGATTTCTTGCGCGTAACGTACTGGATTGAGAAGACGTAAGACCCACTCCTCAAGGGGTATACAAGTGTGAATGTCGAAGCTAAGGACTGTAGTTACAAAACGCCGAATATTAAGGAACACTTTGCGTTGCATAGCTTACGGTAAAAACTTTCGTGACTTTGGGCGGATAAGCTCTCAAAGCTCACATCTGCACTAGGCTCTTTATTACTCGAGCTAGTTTCCTCTACTCAATCAAGGCTACCCTAAACTGTTCTCGTCATTGGTCGCATTAATTCTGAGTTTACCTTTTGGCTCTTTGAACGAATATGTGAACAGTTTTTACTCCCACCGCAGTCGATCTGCCTGACTGCATTTATGCTAGAGGTTCACGCCATTATCTTAGTCATGACAATTGTTTTCACATCGACCACCGTCACGCCTGTCGCCAAGATTTGGCTATACCACTCCGTTCGGTACAGCCAAATGTACGACAACGCCAACCACGGCGAGCGGGACTCCAACACCCAGCTGCCAGACATCCTACGCCACAATGGGTGCCCGACGACTCGCAATTCAAGTTAAGCCTAAATTTTCTTGAACAATTGTCTAACGTATCAAGACCGTTAATTTGCTGCGCTTGCTGCGGTACCTACGCCAGTGATCGCAAAACTCTGTTCGAACATGTGAATTTCGGCTAATCGTCTCACTACTGAGTATAGGCAGCATGCAAATCTGAGATCACTCGCTTTTATTACCCAAGCTGCAGTATGGCGAGCCAGACTGTTTTGGTCATCGCCGCGACTTTCAAGATTACGCGCGTAGAGGTATCTCATTTGTCTGCACGTAGAATAATTCTTCGGCAAGGTTATGCATCTAACAACTAACGGTTGTGGCATTAGCGTCATGATCTATGAGTTTTCCAACTACGACAAACTGGCCATTGTTGACCATGACCCGTCGTCAGAAAGGCGTTTAAAAGAAGTTGATTTACGACTGATTCGTGCAAAGAGGCGCCATACCTGCGTGCGTGGCAAAGTGAAACCCAGGAGATGCAGTATTCTTTAAAATTGTTGGCTTCCCGGCCACGGTTTTTCAACCAAACGGTGAGTCATTCGGCAGATACATTCTGACTTGGAAGAAATGAGTGCTTTTTGCAGCATACGCTACACAAGCTCAATCGGGTGAAGCCGCTATCCTTACGACCTCACCCTCGTCGATCGTCTGCCACTTGATGCCTGCATTACACCGCGAACACTCAGCTGCAACCCAAGACTCCAACGAGCCAGAAGTTTAGACACGGTATACAATTATCCTAGGTGAGCCATTTGCGCGGGCTATACGCAACGGTCGTTTCTCTGATCGAACAGCACTAAGGTTCAGCGCATGATCATTGATGCCGAAATAGAAGGTACACCGGGGTGAAAAATCGTCCAACACTCTCAATACAGGACAATCAATCGGGGCTGCCGGTAAGAGCACCGATTTAATAGTCATTATTCTTGTTAGCTAGGATCCCTACTCCTTGGTGTTTTCTATGCAAATGCTGCCAAATTGTTGTAATATTAATTTGTGAAAAGGCTTAGATTCGATGCTCTCACCTGATGTTGATCAAAGAGCTGGTGAGAATGACGGATGTGACGACGGGTCACCCGAGTATTTGGCTTTGCTGTCTTGTCTGATCTTCTACCGTATGGGGAGTAAGAACCCACACTGAAAAGTCTACTTATTTTCGCGCTATGAGTGAAATAATGGTTGAAGAAGTTTTTTCTACATGTCATTGACGAGTTTGTTGAACAAGGTGTTCTCAACATGACAGCTTACGAAGTCATATTGGCAGCTGAATCTGCATATTTTTGGCGCATTTGTTAGCTTCGGTCAGGCTGTCAGCATCAACGGTTTTGGGCTATCGCGGTATATCGGGCAACCAGTGTGGAGCCAGTCACAGCCAATCGTTCCTTGGACTTCCGGAACGGTGTGATATAGACTAATGATGGTGCCTTCTTCGAGGCTACATTTATAAGCAACGAACTCCAAGCCGCCGCTGTGCATAGCGCCATCAAAAGCTTGTTCCTGATGGTATCTGCGCCTAATATATTCGGCAAGCAAATAAGCGCTTCTCGGACCATTACTGTCATGCAAACGGCTTTGACAATCTGTAACGGGGTTACATGTTCTTTTCTATGAAAGGGCGGGTCACACAAGATGGTGTGACCGTAAAAGGTTGTGGATTACACAAGATGGTGTAATCACACAATGTTGTGGCTACACCGTAACAAGATGCCACTACGTGGCAGGACTGCCAGTAGCTATCCATATCAATTAGGTTTTACCGTTTAATTAGGAAACCTAAGATTTTAAATAGAGGCGGCTCTGCCGCAAATAAAACAATATAATATAGATTCAATTTTGAACAAAAGCGCGCCTTTGACTTAGTTAAGTTTTTTGGTACTCTTGGACGTAGCGGTTTGCGATCCGCTACACTCGTACTGGTTCTTGTATCGAACACAAGGCCGGTGACCTTAGCTTAGCTCCCTCTAAGCAAAGGGCTACGACAGCCCCGCTGCACTTAGTAGCGCTCGTTGTCAATCCACACCTGAGTCGTTACGACTGATCTTATGTGAGGAAGGTGAAATACTTCTTTTCCACCAGGGGATGCAGAACGGGCTTAATAAGCTGATGTCCCTGCTGGGCTCCAAGGACGTGCAACACCACCTTGTTTTGCTAGACCCCGAAGCGATAAACGCGCGTACAGAGGCGTTTTTAAGCTATGAAAATGCGCTGCTATAGCACCTACAGCAGAAGCTGTCGGCGTCGACTGCGTCCATGACGCCACTGTCGACGATGGATGACCCCTTCCGACCTAGGCCGCACATGGTGCGCGTTAAGGCCGTCGAGGGTAAGAATGGAAAGAATATTTTGCTCTGGGTGATAGAGGCCGAGATGGCTTTGGCATCCGCCATGCCCCAGAACGAACAACAGCGCGTGGTGCAGGCTATCATCAACCTCGGGGGCCGAGCACGAGAATGAACACTAACGTGTGGTGCTTCGGTGGAAGCCCCCCCCCTCCTAGAAGGATCTGAAGCGTCAGCTTTTTCGAGTGTTCTTGCCGCCTCACCAGGCATATCGCGTGCGATCACGTTTCCTTGCCGCCCGACAGAGCAAGAAGAAGTTGGTGAGCTCTGTTTAAGAGTTAAATACTCTCATTCCCGGGATGGCAGCCGATCCTCTTCCCGAGGCGGTCGCAGCGACCGTCTTTTGGAGGGCCTCCGCACAGGCGTGGCCAGAATGAAAGTCTTCCGTGTGCACCCGACTTCTTTTAGAGAGGCGGTGAATGTGGCATTGAAAGCAATATTCAACTTTAAGTCGGCACGACTTGGTTGAAATGCACATCATCAGAGCTTGTCGAGCGAGTCTGAGCTAATGGATCTCAGCTATGCTAAAAAGCAGGAGGGAGAGCTCCGAGGTGCCGAGCAGCGTTCAAATACCCGACGGTGTTTTGTCTATGGGCACGCTCGTCACCTCCGGACTGGTTGTTCCCTGCGCAAGGCACGTAAAGATTCATCGAACCGACGTTTCGCTTCTACCCAGTCTGGATCGTCGCGGGGAAACGAGAACACCCAGTAGGCGCGGAGCGCCCTACTGAAGAAGAAATGAGTTCTGTTGAGCCACAAAGAGGTAGAGGGCAGCAGGGACCAGCTCCGAAGGTCTCCATGATCCTGAACACGGAACATGCATGCTCTCGAGGCTATATCCGCGGTGGATGCTTTTCTTTTGCTGGGCGAGATGTCCTTTGAAGTATTTGGCGGTGCCTTGAAGGCAGGCGACGTAGCCGAAGTGGTCATTTTAGGATCAACGAGGAGATTAACTCGTCGTCACTTCTGGATGAAGCAATCCTGGATGACACCCAGCGGGTGCTGAATCATGAAGTAGATCGTCGTTCCTAAGGATCCCTCGGATCCGTACTATCCTTTGGCAGAAGAATTTCAAGACGTCATTTCCAAAAACCCGCCGTCGGTCCTATCTCCGGACCGAGGTGTGCGCCATGAGGTTGACCTGGTTCCGGGAACCAAATACTTCGCATCACGCCCCTGGTCCGGTCCAAGGAGCAGTGTGACGTCATTGACGCACTTTTTCGTGTGAAGCACGACGCAGGAATGGTGTGTGAGAGCAAGTCTCCCTATTCGACACCCACATTTTGCGTCTGGAAGCCGTACGGCAAGTGGCGTATCGTTCACGCTTACAATAAGCTAACCGCTGCCATCATTCCGACACAGTCGCCAATCCTAGAAAGAATGTTCTATAGAACAATATGGTTGGCTGTACAAAGAACAGTGCACTCGACTTGGTCGATGGGTATTACCAATTGCTCATGAGAGCGAGTGATAT